AAACAGAAATAAGAAAATCAAATGGAAGTCTTCATTCAGTATTGTACTACACAAATACTATCATAGAACACTTTAGTCCTGGTGTATTTGGAGAGAGCAGCTGGGATTGTACAAGTAGCGATGACTGGAACCTTGCAAGTAATAAGAAAACCAATAAAAATCAAAATTCTGCCGATGTTATAAATACGAACCAAAAACAGAATCCTAGAAACCCATAATGTGCGTCATTACAAGTATAGAGTACAACTGAACATCTGTTTCAAATGAAGGCCCTTCTTCAGTTCTGAAGAGTGGACTGGATCCAAAACATTAACCTGTCTGTTCTCTCCACAGATGCTTAATGACCTAATGATGAAGAACTTAAGTGCCTATAGTGTTTCACTTCACAAATTTTTTTTTCTGAAAAGCAGAAGAGAAAATAATCACCAACTGCGCAAATCTAAAACACAAACATAAAACTCTTGGGGGAAAAACAGTGTGTTAAGTCAGCAACTGGGAAAAGTTAACTTGCTGGCTGTTGATGGGTCAGGTGTAGATTTCTACAATGTTTCTGGATACTTACATTTTGCGGATTAGTTATTATTGTAATGCAATGTGCATTACTTTACATGTATTGCATTTTAGGCACGTTTCTATGCCGTTTCAGTTTCCATTCGTAATTCAAAAGAAGAGATGTTGTATTTATTAAGCTATCTATGGTAGATACTGCAAATGAGTCCCAAGTTAGAAAGCGTCAGTTGCTCTCAACATAAAATGTACTTGGATGTTTGCAATGCAAACATCATTTCTAAGGAGCATAAGTCCCTCATCTTATACAGTAGGTTATTTATGGCCTCTCCAAGCCGGTGTATTCGCAACCAGTCGGTGCTTAACAATGAAATGGGTGGCTAGCCCACTGGCTTCTCTCCAACTCATCCTGAGCTGTCCCACATCACACAGTGGGTGAGTAAGGCATCAGCCAGCTAACCCTTAGGTGCACTGAGGCCCTTGATTAAGGAATTGTTTTCACTCCCACTTCAATAGCACACGCCACTATGGAAAGTGAAACAAAGAAGGCCAGGCAGCTCCCAAACCATGTCAGGTGGATAGGCAGTCGGGTGGGGTGAAGAGGGGGCATCACTGGGGGATTCCCTGTAACCATCAAGAACACTCCCTCTCCCCAGCTTAGGGACTCCATACCTGGTCTCTAGAACCTGATCACCTAGTTTTTCCCCTCAATTCACTATCACTGCTGATCCCATTCTTTTTGAAGTCTGGCATCAATTTCCATGTCCTCAGGATTTCTTGTAGTCTCAGCCATGGCCAAGAGAGAACTCTGGCACTGCTGGGACTATTCAGCTGTTGGCTGATTAGATTGGCTGACAGTTCTAGAGAGTATGACATCCTTTCTCCCAAGGGCAGAAGACCCTTAATTCCCTTGTTAAAGTTGCTTCAGCACAATATTGCAACGCGCAAACCCCACAGCCTATCCAACCACCAGTCCAGTAAAATGCAGCCCCACATTCATACAGTGCATGCACAGTGCAAGTTTAGTGTCAGTATGAAGATAATTTGGCTCAACTTTGTGTGTGTAAACGGATGTGAAGACTGGAGCCAACTTCAAATAAAAGCAACGTGTTCAGGTTAAGTCCAGGTGATTGAATTCTCTTTGTCTTGCACTACAACTGAAGAGAAATAGCTTCACACCTATGTCACAGTCGTCATGTAACTTCATCATCATCTGAAACAGTTTTAAGACTATTATATGTAGATCAATCTTTCATTTAATCCTTGAAATAACCATATTACTTTGTGTGTTGTTACAGTTACAAAACATCTAAAGCATGACAAACTTCTTTGCTCCAATACAAAATGTATGGATAAAGAGTCTTCTGAAAGGCATCTACATTACGACTGTAACATAAGTATAACGTTTGTACTGATTCCACAGCTGCCTGTAAACACAACCCAAATATCTTCAGCAAAAATATGCATGAACAGCGAAAGTTGGAAATTTTTCAGCCTTTCCTTCTGTTCAGTGGTTGTCAAGTACAGGTTTAATATGGCTTCAAAAATCATTAGTTTTCACTGACCATTTACTTCAGGCTCAAAAAAACTTTCTTTCGGTATTTGCTACAAATCTTTTAACACCTGATGCTTTCAAACAGAGCACCTGGTACCTCATGCAGCAAACAGCCTAAAAAAAAAATCCAACAATTAAAACTTTGGGATGTTTTTCTCCATTAAAAGGCACTACCAAAACGTCAGCTGTTGTTTACCTATCCATTTACTGATAATGACATCCTAACATTGTTGAGATGCCCAATTTAGGTCCCTCTTAGTGAAGCTATTACACATCAGTCAGGTTTTTATCTTCAGACAAGCAGTTATTATTCTGGCTGAAGTTCACATTTGTAAAAACTTTGTCTGCTCTGTTCAATTTTGTGTTTAGGAACCTGTGTGGGATAAATTTCTCTCTCACACACCTCAATTCCACAACAGCACCTCTTAATACA